AGTGATATTTGATAGGTATATATCATTAAAAAGAGTTTAAGTTTGGAGGATAGGTGAAAAGGAGTAATCTAATATATTAGAATATAATTTTATATAATTTTACTTTATTGGTTTTTAAATTGTCCGTTTTTAAGTTTGTAATTGATATTATTGGTGCAAATGGCCGTTTGTGACTTGCTGTCCACCTTATGATGGTCATTTAGTTTTATATGCTCCTGCAGGACCAAGGTTATATGAGGGGGCTAATTTTTTTGCCCTTTCTGTCAGTCAGTAAATGCCTGGGAAGCATGGAGATATATGCTGTATTTTCCAGAAAGTAAGATGGCCGCGTCTGGAGTTTACTTGCCAGTTAGCGGATATTTAAGGCAAGTGAGGGCACACGTCCGTCCGTATCCCTGTTGAAAAAGTCCGATGATGACGAAACGCGTCCGGGGCAATAAACGTGACGTTGTGACGTATTGACGTTTTCCGGAAGTGCCGGGGCGGCCATCTTGGATTCGGGAACATTTTGCGGTAGTTTTCCAACCCCTGAGACTCCCATGGTTACCTGGCTCTCTCGGCTTTAGGAATAAGGGGCTGTAAACAGCCACCACGAAGGAGTGGGCCTCTCTATGGGACGTTCCCAGTGTATGGAAGCTGTACTCATCTAACTTAAGTGTAAGTTGCTACAATAAAATTGATTATATTTATATATATACTGATCCCGGTCTATTTTTTATGAGGTACTGTGGGCAAAGGCATGAGACGCTATCTGAATCCATGTGTGGAGACACTATTTCACCTCTAATATGGATTCTAAGCTGATTATATCTTTGATGGGGGCACTGGAAGATTGTCTGGAATATATCACCAATCCAATCCGGGGATAAAGACATACTGAGAGATCACTTATAAAGATTTTGGACTTTATACTTTATTTTGGACTTTAGGTGTATTGGACTTTATTTATATTTGATATATAATTTTTTTTTTGGTTATATATTTAAACACCCCCCCTTGTAACGTCATCACAGTATTTAAGAACTGTCATCCCGGTGCAGCTGTCAGACGTTGGGAGCCAGCGTCGAGAGCGGAGCGGGTTTTCTTTTTTCTGGTCGGCGGTGGCGGTGGACATCGTGATTGACGTTGGCTCTACTTCGAGGAACATTTTTTTTTTTATTTTGTTTTTTACTAAAGGACTTGCCAAATACTGTCTCCTGTCATTTTTTCCACTACACTTTTTTTGTGAATGAGTAGCAGTACTATGTACCCCATACTCATTCACGGGGTGGGGGCCGGGATCTTCCAGATTCCGATAAGCCCCCCCACCCGCAGACCCCCACAACCACCGCCACGGTTGTGGGGAAGAGTCCTTTGTCCCCATCAACATGGGGACAAGGTGCTTTGAAGCGGAAGCCCCTCTGCCCCAAAGCACCCCCCATGTTGAGGGCATGTTGCCTGGTATGGTTTTCAGGAGGTTGGGGGGATGAGCGAGCGAGCGAGCAAGATCTCCTGACCTGCTGGGCTGCATGCTTGTATAAGAGTCCGGTATGGATTTTGGGAGGGGACCTCCACGCCATTTTTGAAAAAAAAAAATGGCGTGGGGTTCCCCTCAAAATTCTTACCAGAACCCGAAGGGCTTTCTATGGATGGGGGGGGGGGGATCCCACGCAGATTTAAAAAACAAATGCCAGAAATTCTTCTTACATTAAAGAATGTTTTTCAATACTAAAATTCCGCATGACTTAACAATATAACTTATGCAGTATTTTAGTAGCTGTGCGGTATCTTATGGCATACTCAGATGCGGTAAGATACCACTTAGTGAATTGCCCCTGTCGAAGTTCATGGTCGACTGTTTGACCACGAACCGAACAGTGTTCGGCCCATCACTAATCTTCAGCAGACAACCCCCCCTCAGTCAGCTCTCTTTAGTTCCATGGTCTCAGCATCCAGGCTCTTAGGTCACCCACCTAAGGCCTCATGACAGCAGATATAGCAGCACTGCCTGGAAGGACACTGTGCCCCCCTCCAGGCTGAACTTATCCCAATGAAAAGACCCTGAGCTGAGTGTGCTAGCCAAATATATACAGTCTCCCAGCATGCCATCAGAGCCTGTCTCTCTGGGATAGGCCAGGGCTTTATTAATATTCATGCTGTCATCTGCATAACTCCACACCTAATATCCAGAGACTTCTCAAGCTCCCTGGATGCAGAGGGAGCTACAGTATCAGACTGGCAGCAGCTGAACAAACTGAGCAGAACTGACTAGCAGAATACAGCTTCACTGAGTACAGTGAGCAAGCTAGGCTTTTACACAAGAAAAGTTTCGGGATTTGGCCTGGCTCTGGTTCCATGGCAGACTCTATGTGAAGGGCAACCTGAAGCATCGCTCTGCGGAGAACCGTGGTTGTCCAAGAGTGGAGTGCGGTAAGGTGGAGGATGAGATGGACCATTTCTTGCTTCAGTGACCCTTCAGTATAGAAGTCTACAAGCGGGTGGCTGGGGCTCTGGGTATCCCTTTCCTTTCCCACTTAGGTTATGTGGAGTGGTCTTATGGAGCCTTTCAAACTCACCGGGACTTTGATTTTGAGACACTTTTTCTAGTTAGCATAGTAGTCCGCTACTACACGTGGTGTCAGGTTTCCATTCACAAAAAAGTCCTTCCTAGTGAGGTTGGGAAGATTTAGGGTCTTGAGAAGGACAGGTGGCAGCCAGGAGCCTGGACAAAGGCGTGGAGGAATGTCAGGTCCCCGTAGCTGCTGTCTGTCAGTCTCTGGGTACATGGCTTCTCTTTCTGTCCTCTCACGTCCCCTAGTTTTTTGTAAGATCAGATGTTTGGAAAAAGGCTGCATGCATGGGATAAATGTTTCATCATTTCTTAGCCCGAGGGGGTGATTAGGTGACGGTAATGTTTGCAGAGATACATTATAAAGATGATAATAGTTAAATATGATTGGTTCTGTTTATGTTTTTCCCAGCAAAAAAAAAAAAAAAGCTGTTTTCTATGCTGAAGTAAGCGATTTTTGTTTAATTATATATATTAATTTTATTTATTCTGTATATCTGTAAATATGTTTTTTTTATTATGTTGTTTGTTGTTAAGATTTTTAATTAACAAAAATGTAAACAACAAACAATAACAGCCACACTGACGAGTGTGGCAACTAAATTTACCTATCAAAAACACATACTAACTCTATCTATCTAAACCTAGCACCCATCTAGGAGCGTGCTACATGGGCCACTGGAGGCACAGCAGCAGAAATTTAAGAAGGACTTCTTCCTGTCCCAGGGTCTAAGGATACCTTGCCTAATGCCCCCATCATTGTAAACGAGAGGCAGAAGAGGAGTACGAGGAGGAAGAGGAGGGTTGGGGTACAGGTGGTAAAGAGGAATAGGAAGATTTGGATGCTGGCAATGAGGAAAAGTGTCCAGAGACTGGGGATGAGGAGGAAGGTTGTGGTGCTGGTGTTGAGGGAGAGGAAGAAATCTGGGGCAGCTTCAGAGTTTCACTGCTCCTAATCCAAGCAACAGTCATTCAAGGTTCTATGCCAACCAGGGGCGACTGGACTGACAAATCATGGGGCCCCCGGGCAATAGGGGATCATGGGGTCCCTGTGTCCTTGCCCAAACTCAAAAAAGCCTATGAAAAAGGTACCAGGGACATCTCATGGGGCCCCCCTACTGATCCCGGGCCCTCGGGCAGTGCCCGAGTTTCCAAATGGTCAGTCCGCCCCTGATGCCAACAACCAAGAAGGAGCACAGTGTGCCCCACTCAGAGGTAGCACGGCAAATAACCTCTTTTTCATATCTCCTGATGGTAGGTACATCCACAGACCTGGAGGTATAGGTGAATGAGGAACACATAACGGGGAAAAGCTGGCAGCCATTCCACAATGTGGCTTTAGTTTCATACCTGTTGCAGAAATAGGCAGTGCTGTTCTTGACTCCATTATGAGCAGCATGTCCCCACACACCTTTGCACAACAGAGTTGTGCTTCTACGCACACCCTTATTCACCCCCATGTCTGCCCTAGCTTCCATTACATATATTAAATCTGGTGTCTGGCTCCACCGCAGTGGAATCATAGCTGTAAGGTCAAAGACTGGCTGCCATCACAGAAGTTGGTTTTTGAGTGCCACTTGTTCCTGACTGTCATATGCCTTTAAGTGTTCATTGTATTTTGTCTCTGCTCCTCCCTTTCCTTTGGTTTAGTTCATGCTGTATAGATATTCATTTTCCCAGTAATGCATTTCAGCTTCAAGCCTCATGTCTCATGAAGTAGATCACATTATGATCTTTTGACCTATCCAATGTTCATTGTTGTAAGATTCTCTCAGTTTATGGAATAAACTTCACAAGATCTACAAGGTGTCATCTGGATTGAGTCACTGCCTGTGTTATTCAACTAAGATTGGAGTTATCGCTATCTCATCAAAACTGTAAGTTACAGAGAGCACACTTTCAATGCTTAGATTGGAGAAACAGAACACTGAACATGAAAAGCTTTACTTTGTATGTTGTACTTCATAATGTTTACATTTCGAAAATTTTTATTCCTTTTATTCCTAATCCTTGCAAAATAAGACTGCCTGCTCAGGCACTTGCCTCGCGGAGGTGATGGCTTTAAGGAACCCCACTTTCTAGGTTAAAGTAGACATGGGAATATTATAAAAAGAAAATTTCTAAAATGCAGACAAAACCAATTAGGTCTTCTTGTTTAAGAGGTCAATGGTCTATGAAACCCGGCTCCCTCCAATGTCCATCCGGCACCACCCAGTGTAGATGGACCATCGGATTCCTCGTATCCTGAGGAACCTCAGACTGTGCGGGACCGGGTCGGCCTTCCAGCAGGGAAGAGGTTTCTCCTGTACTGAGTGCGGGAAGAGTTTCTGTTCTAAATCTGGTCTTAAAGTGCATGAAAGATCTCACACGGGGGGAGAAGCCGTATTCCTGTCCTGAGTGCGGGAAATGTTTTTCAGTGAAGTCTCATCTTTACAGACATCAGAGATCTCATATGGGGGAAAAGCCGTATTCCTGTCCTGAGTGCGGGAAATATTCTTCACAGAAGTCCCATCTTTACAAACATCATAGATTGCACACAGGGGAGAAGCCGTATTCTGTCCTGAGTGCGGGAAATGTTTTTTGGCAAAGTCCAATTTTTCTAGATATCAGTGATCTCACATGAGTGAGGAAGCCGTATTCCTGTCCTGAGTGCGAGAGATGTTTTGTAGAAAAATCAAAACTTGTCAAACATCTGAGGTCTCATGCAGGTGAAAAGCTGTATTCCTGTTCTTTCCAGCCATCAGAGATTTCACACGTGGGAGAAGCCCACTTTCCGGTCCTGAGTGAGGGATATGTTCCTCACTGAAGTCCTGTCTTCCTGTACAACAGGGTCCTACACAACCCTTGAGGTGTATTACTCTCTTCACCCCCACCTCCACCCAGCACCCTCACCGCCCTTGAGATTGCCAATCACTTCAAAAACAAAATTGACACAATTCGCAAGGACATCGCCGCAACTCACACTCCCTCTCAACCCGTCCCCTCTCACACAGCTACCCCCTCATCCCCCTTCTCCCTCGACACAATCAGCAGAGACTTCGTCACTGCTCAAACTCCCTCCAACCCCGTTCCCCCTCACTCAGCTACCCCCTCATCACCCCTCTCCCACGGCCCCACCACTGCTCTGACCTCCACTTTCCACCCCACCCTACATTCCTCATACTGAAGCCCCCCCAACACTCCACATCTTTGACCTTACTACCATCGAGGAAGTCTCCAAGATCCTCTCTGATGCCCGCCTCACCACCCGCTCCCTCGACCCTGTCCCCTCACAACTCCTACAACCTCCCTACCCCTCCATCCTACGCTCCCTCACCCACATCTTTAATCTCTCCCTCTCCTCCGGCACTTTCCCCTCCCCTCTAAAGCACGCACACATCACCCCCATACTTAAAAAGCCCTCCCTGGACCCCAATGACTCGAACAACCTCAGACCCATCTCCCTTCTCCCATTCACATCCAAACTCCTCGAGCGCCTAGTCTACACCCGCCTAAGCTCTCACCTCAATGACAACAACCTCCTCGATCCCCTACAGTCCGGCTTCCGTCCCCTACATTCCACCGAAACTACCTTACTCAAACTCTCCATTGACCTGCTAACCGCCAAAGCTAATGGCCACTACTCAGTGCTCCTACTCCTTGACCTCTCTGCGGCCTTCGACACAGTCGACCACCCCCTCCTCCTCAAAAAACTACACTCCCTCGGCCTCCGAGACTCTGCTCTCTCCTGGCTCTCATCCTACCTGTCACAACGCTCTTTCAGCGTTACCTATAATGCTACCACCTCCCCCTCACTCCCCCTCTCTGTTGGGGTCCCTCAAGGCTCCGTCCTCAGGCCCCTTCTCTTCTCCATCTCCCTTGGCCAACTCATACACTCTCACGGCTTCAACTACCACCTATATGCCGATGACACACAAATCTATCTCTCAACCCCCCACCTCACCACCTCAGTCTCCACCCGAATCACACACCTACTGAGCAACATATCAGACTGGATGTCGCTCCACTTCCTTAAACTGAACCTCTCCAAAACCGAGTTTCTTGTCTTCCCCCCAGCCCGGACCCCACCCCCCATTGACTTCTCCATCATGTCCAACAACACCACCATCAAACCCGCCCCGCAGGCCAGAGTACTTGGTGTCATTCTGGACTCCAACCTATCCTTCCAGCCCCAAGTCCAATCTATAACAAACTCGTGCAGACTCCACCTCAGCAACATCGCCGAAATACGCACGTTCCTAACCCCAGAAACCACTAAACAGCTCATCCACTCCCTCATCATATCACGACTCGACTACTGCAACTCCCTCCTCACTGGCCTGCCTCGCCGCTGGCTATCCCCGCTTCAGTCAATCCTGAATACGGCTGCCAGACTCATTCACCTAACCAACCGCTCCCTTTCCTCCACCCCCCCTCTGCCAATCCCTCCACTGGCTTCCGATTGCGCAACGGATCAAATTCAAAATCCTAACACTGACGTACAAAGCTGTCCACCATACTGCCCCAAATTATATCACCGACCTAATATCCAAGTACCGCCCAGCACGCACACTTCGCTCCTCACAAGACCTCCTTCTCTCTAGTTCCCTGGTCTCCTCCTCCCATGCCCGCCTCCAGGACTTCTCCAGGGTGTCACCCATCCTCTGGAACTCCCTGCCCCAACCCATCAGATTATCACCTACTCTCCTCTCTTTTAGGCGCACCCTGAAAACCCACCTCTTCAGGGAAGCCTACCCCACCCCCTGCTAACTTGCCGACCTCCTCCACTCTTCCTACCACTCCATCCCCCACAGCTATCTCCTCCTGTGCCACCATCCCCTCCCTCCTAGATTGTAAGCTCGAAAGAGCAGGGCCCTCGAACCCCTCATTTTTTGCATTGTATTGTATTGATATTGTTCTGTCACATGTTCTGTCCCCCTTTGTAATGTACAGCGCTGAGCAAACTATTGGCGCTTTATAAATACTGTATAATAATAATAATAATAATGAAACAAAGATAGAAAGGGTAGAAACATGACCTATATTAGGGCTGAGAGCCAAACATTAGTCCAGACTCACCCATTTCTGGTTCAGACTCACCCATTTCCCTAGCCTTGTCAAGCAAAGTGTGGGCAGGGATGACCATAAATAAAACATTTGCAAGCAATCACATTCATGAACAACCAAGTGTCCAACCTGGACCACTGGTCCAGCCTACCCTGATGCAGGTGTCATGTCAGAGAGTGCCCTCAGAGCAGCATAGTGAATTTGTGATTAAAAAAACTGCATTTTATTATTTTATTAACCTGGTGTAAGGCTGTGCTGTTTTTGGGTGCAGAGTGTTTTATTTATTTAATTTGTTTTGGGGGGGGGGGGGGGGTTCAGAAAGTGCAGTCCTTCCTTTCAAAGGCAGCTCCTGACAAGGCTGCCAGCAACAACTGCCTGATTAACAGAAATAATAGTTATAATTTAAATAATAAAACCTAAATAAACAAAATTAAACCAATAAAATCAACTTTTAATAAAATTAATTACAGATTATAAATGCAAATTACAGTTGATTAAATATTGTGTTAAATCGCTCAACAGTATAAAAGTACTTTGATAAGGCCACAATTTAAGAGAGACAAACCAGCCAAGTTTATAAGTAACAGATAAAAATTATATTGCATTTAAAACAGTTTAATATATCATCTGATTGGTGCGGCAAAGGGTTTAATTCCTAGGTTTTGGAAGGCCCAGGATCCACCAACAATGAGGGATTGGATAGACAGAGTAGAATATGTTAGTAGGATGGAGGAACTTTGTTACACGGAGAAAGATGAAATGGAAACGTTTAGAAAGATTTGGGGTAAATGATATGAGTTTAGAACTTCAGAAAAATACTTAAAATGAAAGGTTCCCTTGATAGTAGTACCAGAGAATTTAAATGGTTAAAGAGATCTATATATATGATTAGATTAACCACATGCCGCCCAGCCACTGTAGAAATACGGTGGCAGGGCGGCATGGCTGGGCAAAAGCACGTTTTAAAACGTGTGTTTTGAAAACAGGTAGGGGGCGCACGCGAGGCGCGCCGCCGCCCTACCTGTCCCGCCGATCACAGCCGCGGATGTCAGTCGCCGGATGTCATTACCGGCTATGTCCCGGCGATCGGCGGCAATCGCTGACAGAGAGCACAACTGCAGTAGCTGTGCTTTCTGTCAGTTCCCTGACAGCTTGAGGACACGCTGATCGGGACAGAAGAGTTTCTCTCTCCCGATCAGCGGTGTTCCCTGCAGTACACCCCCCCGCCCCCTAGTAAAACACTCCTCACACAGTTAACCCTTTCACTGAATAATAAACTTAACCCCTTCCCAGTGCCATTAGTACAGTGTCAGTGGGTTTTTTTTTTGCACTGATCACTGTATTGGTGTCACTGGGGATGTCAGTGACCCCAAGTCAGTACCCCCCAATGTCAGAATGTCCGCCGCAGTCCCGCCATAAGTCACTGATCGCCGCCATAAGTCGCTGATCGCCGCCATAAGTCGCTGATCGCCGCCATTATTAGTATAAAAAAAAACCTAAAAATCCCAGTATCTTTCCCGCCATTTGTAAACGCTATAACTTTCACGTAAACCAATTAATTTACCCGTTTTGGGTTTTTTTTTTTAGCAAAGACATGTCACAGAATGCATTTTGGCAGATATTTATGACTAAATTTGATTTTTGCATTTTTTTTTACTGGACATGTTTTATAGCAAAAAGTCCAAAATATTGTTTTTTTTTCCTCAAAATTGTCAGCCTTTTTTTTTATAGCGCAAAAAATAAAAACCGCACAGGCGATCAAATACCACTGAAAGAAAGCTCAATTTGTGGGGAAAAAAAGGATGTAAATTTCATTTATGTACCGTATTGCATGACCGCGCAATTGTTCGTTAAACTAGCGCAGCGCTGTATAGCAAAAAAATGGCGTAAATTGCAGTATCTATACCATAGTTTGTAGACGCTATAACTTCCACACAAAGCAATCAATATACACTTATTGGGATTTTTTTTACCAAAAACATGGAGCAGAATACATTTTGGCCTAAATTTATAACCAACTTTGAGTTTACTATATATTTTTTATAGCTGAAATTAAAAAATATCGTTTTTCTTCAAAATTTTTGGCCTTTTTTTGTTTATAGCGTGAAAAATAAAAAGCGCACAGGTGATCAAATACCACCGAAAGAAAGCTCTACTTGTGTGAAAAAAAGGACGTAAATTTTATTTGGGTGCAGCATTGCATGACCGCGCAATTATCAGTTGAATTAGTGCAGCGCCGAGTAGCAAAAAGAGGCCTGGTCATTAAGGGGGGTAAATTCTCTGGAGGGCAAGTGGTTAATAGGGAGGGGAAAGAGAGGATAAGATGATATTGGACAGGGATATGTTGGGGTGGGTATGGGGATAAAGTTTATATGTATGATGTAAAAAGATTTATGATGGTTTTGTAAGGTATTTTTTTCTTAAAATAAAATTTAATAAAATATATAAGGGAAAAAGAAATGATATTGCATTACTTTACTGAAAAATTCCAGCAATATTGGACCGACTATATAAGCAGCTGCAATAAATTGCAATATAAGAGGGAGACCCCAGACACATTTTTAATAAAAAAAAAATCAAACTTAGAGTGTATTTTTTTACTGAATAAAGACAGAATTTTTTTTTCAGGCTATGTAGCCTATGTGCACTATTTTAGTAGGCCAGATTTCACAGGAAGACAACAGGCAAGTTTATAATCAAGAAATAAAAAAAGAGTGCTTTATTTCACATTTAAATGCAAAGCAGAGTACTTAAAGGATA